CAGGCTCCTTCTTAGCACCCAGAGTCCGGCCGTGGGTGCTGGGCATTGTCAGCCAGGCAAGTGGGCATTTCCCTGCAGCTGGGTTTGAAGGAAAGCAAACCTACAGGGCAATCAAGCCCAGAGCTGTCTTCAGGCGCTGCTGTAAGGGGGTCTATGCCCAGAGACTGTTCTCCTGAGCGCTGCGGCTATGCCTGCAGAGCCCTCAAAACGGGGTGGGGAAGCAGAAGGAGCTCCTGCTGGCCTAGCAGATGCTCCTGGGGAAGCGTGGCCCTGCAGCTGGCACCCGGCACGCTCCGGAGGATGCTCCCTGGCCGTGCCTGAGGTCACGTACAAGAGGCAAGGAGTGCGGCCCTCTCCCTGACCCACCGCGGCCAGGGACTCCCAAGGCAGCGGGTGGGAGTGAGGACCTGGGTGCTCTGGGGCTTGCCCTCCCCTTCCTCCCGTCAGTCTCCTCCGGGCCACCGCACAGCCAGCCTGCTCCACGGCTCCTGCCCTGGTGCCGAAATCCTTCCCTAAGCTTTTTCCTCGCAGCCTGATTTGCAAATACGTCATCAACTTCAAAACCAAATTTTATATTCTCCCTTCACAAACTGACCTTTGTGCGAAGGCGGTGAGCCCAGGAGTTGAGTCGCTGGTGGGCAGAGCTGGTTAAATAAACGAGGGTTTGCCAGGACGAGAGCGGAGGGGGGTTCATGCCCACCCCAGCCCTTCCGCAGTCAGTGGCTTTCAAAGCTGCCCTCTACAAAATGCCACCGGCAATTACTCTTGGTGGCAGCTTCTGGAAACTTCCATTGCTCTGTAACGCAATGTAACGAGCATTTTTGACCACAAAAGAAATCATTAAATCCTTGCTTTTTTTTACAAGAATTCTCCTGTTGCCAAAATTCGACCTGACGGGCTCTGCAGCCGTTTCGTGTTGTGTGTGCGGAAGGGAAGGAAGCCCTCCTGATTTTAGTTTGCTCTGTCACGGGCAGGTGAAGCCGCTTTACCCGCTTCCTCACTCTGCAGTCCCTGCAGACTTATGTTTGGAAACCACAGCTTATTTATATACCTCCTCATTACGCTAATGCACACACATATTTAACGTAACGAGCACGTGAACCAGGTCCCAATGGACCGTGCCACACAAAAAGCACAAGCCCAGGTTTTTTAAAGGGGGGGGCGGACCCGCACGGAGCCGGTGGCGATTCACCAAACGGGGAGTGAGGTTTGGTTTGGGCATTGGGCTTTGCGCTCTTCTGAGCTGCCTGAGCCCGTGTGGGAAATGCAGCAGGTCAAGGGCTTCCTAGGGAAGCAGGATGGACAGCTTCAGCTCCTGAAAGGGGATGGTGTATGGCCAGCCGTGATGGCCAGCGCGGGGCAGAGGGTGGCTGTGAAGCCGTTTGGAGGCCGTTGGTTCTGCGTGCACCCAAGGGCTGCGTCCCCGCTGGAAGCGAGCGAGTGCCCTGTACCGGCTGCGCGGGGCCAGGTACGAGCCCTGGCTGAGAGGCCCCTCCTGAGTCTTGCAGAATGCAGAGGCGATGGTGTCCTGCACCGTGCAGCGGTTGTCATCTTCAGGAGGTTGATGTGCTGGGTTTCCAAACACACAACCCAAAAAAAGGCCCCAGATGGTAAAAGTTTAATTGAGCTTGAGAGGATAAAGGCATTTTCAGCTGAGGAAAGTGAGGGCTGCGGTGCAGGTTTTCAGGACCTTGGGATTGCCGTTCCTCCCACGGCGCGTAGCCCCCGCCGGCAGCTCTCCTGCAGGGCTGGCTGGTGACTGCAAGGAGCTCATCCACAGAGGTCTTTCTTTCT